GACTTGCATTTTTTTTTTTTTTTTTTTTTTTTTTTCTTTAGGCAGTTTATTAGGATAAGTTAGCTATTTACGTGTTCATCTTTAGAAGTATTTAGAAGGATAATTTAGACGGTTAGTAGTAGTTTATAACGTAAAAATGTTCATTCACTATTGTAATGATGATAACGAATGTTTTATCTCGCTCAAATTAATTATAATTATTTGATCGAGTTCATTCATATTTGGAAATACTATTAAAAATGCTTCTAAACGGGTTTGTAAATAGCTATGATCCTACTAAATTTTGGAAAATCTTACCTTATCTATTTGGTTTATATTAAGTTATTATCAACTTTAAATATAAGTTCTCATTAAACGTCTAATCTTTATCATCAATTTCATTGAACGATTAGGGATTCATTAAAAGGTGACTGAAAAATAAGAACAATGACTTAATAAGGCTATAATACTCCCCAACGCTAACTTATATTAATTAATTATAACCATATAGTAGAAATGTTGCTAGATCGATGATCTAAATTCTATTAATTGATCATAACCATATCGTAGAAATGTTGCTAGATCGATGATCTTTTCTTAATTAGCACTCTGACAACCTTAGACTGTTATTTGGTATTTAATTGTGTAACACCCGCTCATCGCCAACGCGATTAACAGGAGTTACTATCGACAATATTAGGAGACTCTGATACCCAATCATAAAATTAAAAATATTTCTAAAAACATCCAGTAAAATATTTTAATAAAAAAACAGTACTTTAAACAAAACTTAAAACCACTTAAATTCTTGACAACGGAAACATAATAACAGACCCAGACATGGATTCCCAGTAGTCTCTAGCCCGCTGGTCTCGTCCTCGGCTGGCCTGCAACATCTACATCTGGAAAGAAAAGTTATAATAATTCTGATGAGTAATTAGGATACTCAGTAAGTAGCTAGTTTATCATTTACAGGTTCATAACTAATCTTTCCAGGTATTTTTACGTTTTATTCATCACTGACTCCTAGTTCTCTTACTAGGGTCATCTGTTCGTTAATGAGGTATCTCAGCTACCTCCAGCTAGGTTACTGACTCTCTCTCGATATGCTTATCTAGAATTTTCGGACTCGTATGTAAGACTCGCTCTCGGTCAAATATGGCCCGTCTACTAATTGCTCTGGCGGCCTGTTTATCTCATATACCAACGGTCAGGAGTACTCCTGCTCCCTGACTTAGGACACAACGCGTTGGCCAGGAACTTCGCGGGAATTAGTAGACTATCATACTCATATAAATAAGCCATAGCTCAACCGCCAATAAGCATATCTAGAGTCATAACCTTTCCATTAACATGCATAACATACTCACAGTTACTGCATGCTTCCATATATGTATCATGATCAACACGTAGAACATTCTGACAATCATTTATATCACGCTTACATCACAGGCAAGCAGTCACAATATACAATAAACACTAAATATCATCAAAGTTCATCATAACTTATCAAGCTCTTAATCAGGTAAACAACATACTCACATGTTGTAAAACAAGTTAAGAACGAGTTCAAAGGTCGATACGCTACTTACTTGGTTTCGAACTCCTTTTTCCCCCTTGAATGTACGTTTAATAGTATTTCAACACAATTCCTTCCTATTAGACCTATATTTTATCAATTTCAACATAAGTATAGACCAATTTTGGTAGGACAGGTCAAAAGGAGTCGAACGGGACAAACCGTGAGCAAAAATACCTTCGCACGCGCCCTCACGCGCCAACACAAGGTCAATGTTCGTTTTCTCACGCGCCTGATCCTCGCACAGTCGCACTTCCACTCGCGGCCTCCCACGCGCCTCGCGTGTCCTTCACGCGCTCGTCTTCAACCTCTCCTCCCTGCAATTTTTTCCAATCTTTTTCCTTAATACCCGTTGTGTCCCGAAGCAAAAATTTCATCTCTACAGCTCGAATTTCGTTCTGATTTCTTCTACAACTTTATAGATCTTCTAACTACGGTTCTAACCAGCCTTATTTCATAACTTATTATGCAGTATAAATCAAGATATCGAGATTTAAAGGTTCGGTGATGTGGGTTTTTCGTTACCTTCGAATTACCGTCCGATTCAGCTCGTGGCTGTATCCCCTTCCTCAAACGATTCCTCAGCAGCAACCCCTCTTCCTTTACCCTCGATTGATGTCCAATTTTAAGCAACCAAAACTCGAATTCTCAGAAAGTTTCCTCCTCTGTTTTCTGGGTTTTTCGCGAATCACAAATCTTCGTTTTTCTTCCTTTTTAAAGCTTAATCCAGCCCTAATACGCTTCCACCTCTTCTAATCATCCTCTCATCCATCCCACGCCTCCAGTCTACGCGTCCGCCGCCCCTCATCCTCCTTTACAGCAGCTGCTTGACGCAGCTGCTTCGTTTTCGTCGTTTTTTTTTTTTTTAATTTATTTATTTATTTATTTTATTATTATTATTATTATTATTATTATTATTATTATTATTATCAAACACACAACACATACATACAAAATACATATTATCATTATTTTAGGTCGTTACAAATTGATCTCTGTCAAATAAGTTTAGGTTGATCTTTCTCTTAGCACACAACATACATAATTATTTCGTATTTAATTGATTTGGTTATATATAATTTATTTGACAAATTTTTCATTTCTTCCATTAATTAATTAATTTTTATTATCTTGATTATTCAAATTAAATAAATATATAAAATAATTAATACAGACCATAACTATTTTATATTTTGAATCATATATACTCTTAAAATCTTGATATTTATATTTATCTTTTTTTTTTAAAAAAAAATAGAAGTAAAAGGTGATTTAGAGAAAAAAAAATAATAATAATTCTCCTTGATATTTGTTTTTAATATTTAAAAACTCAAAATAATAACATAATAAAAATTTATTATTAAATTTATTGATTATTTGTATTATTAAATTAGAAATTTTTTACTAAGAATATTCTTATTTATTTAAAATATCAATTATTGAATCGTAAGACTTTTGTATATTCGTATTATATTAAATAATATTTAAATCTCTTAAATAATTTAAGAGATTTAAAATCTAGGTAAATGTATGATTTTTTTTTAAAGAAAATGAAATGGTTAAGATTATATATAGAAAAATAATATCTCTATATTTTTTAAATTCCACTATTATCCTTTATAAATATTGAAGAACGAATCTTAGATTAAAAAATACTTTACGATTTTAAACAAAAAAATCTTCATAAAAATAATCTTAAATTTTGTCACAAAAATACTTAAACTACAAAAAAAAAAAAAAAACAAAAACTTTTTATTTATTTAATTAAGTATATATATAATATTTATTAAAGATAAAAGGGTAATATTGTATTTTTGAGAGGGGAAAATATTTGTGAAAATAATGAAAAAAATCAAATAAGAATAAAATAAAATCTGTATTTGGTTAATGTGGGGAAGTGTAAAGCAATAAATAGAAGATTCTTGTATCTCCATCCCATAATCAAACCTGCTGTTGTTAACCTCTAGTTTCTTCCCATCTCTCCCATTCTCAACCAGTTCGTAACAGTTCTGCCTCCTCCCATCCATTTCTCTCCCATCTCTCCCATCTTGCAGTTCGTAACAGTTACGCCTCCTCCAATCTATTTCTCTCCATCTCTCCCATCTTCAACCAGTTTATCTCTCCCAACAGTTCCGCCTCCTCCAATTCATTTCTCTCTATCTCTCCCATCTTCCAACCAGTTCCTACCCGTTACGCCTCCTCCATTCCTCCTCTTCCTCCAATCCGGGTGCCATTTTCTTGAACCAGTTCCGCCCCCTCTATTCCTCTTCCTCCAATCAGTTGCCATTTTTATTGATTTTGCAGACATGGGACGCCAGGGAGATAACAATGAGTCTTCCGTGTCCTTCGGATCTGTCCTTGCCGGCCTCCTCTTCGTAGTGGCTCTGTATTGTGCTACTGATCCCTTCAAGCACAGTGCAATCGCCGATTTCCCTGACTTTGAGACCTATTACGTGGAATTGCCTTCGTGGTCTGAAATACCGACTGAGAGAGATAGCGATAACTTGTTACAGAAGTCTAAAATCATGTTTAAGGATCAAGTTCAGGGCCCTGAGAGTGTGGCTTTCGATCCGCAAGGGCGCGGACCCTATACTGGTGTGGCTGATGGTAGAGTGCTGTTCTGGACTGGCGAATCCTGGAATGATTTTGCTTATACTTCCTCTAATAGGTACTTTTCTGCTCAGTGCCAAAATCAGTATGTAGAATCGTTTGATTTTGATCTTATATAATTACTTGTCCTAGTTTCTTTGGATGCTGCTGATGCATTCTAATTTATTTTCATGTCGTTTCAGGTCGGAGATTTGTGATCCTAAACCATCGATTTTGAGTTATTCCAAGAATGAACATATATGTGGCCGCCCTTTAGGTCTCCGATTCAACAAGAAAACAGGTGATTTATACATTGCAGATGCATACTTTGGGCTGATGAAAGTAGGACCTGAAGGAGGCTTGGCAACATCTGTTTCAACTGAAGCAGAAGGAGTGCCTTTCAAATTCACCAATGATCTAGACGTTGATGACGAAGGGAATGTGTACTTTACTGATACCAGCACCAAATACCCCAGAAGGTAAGCTATGGTGAAGTTTCTTTTGCTAATTTACATATCACCATGGATGCATTAATAGTAAGTAGACTCCCCAATTATTATAGTGATTTTCTTGTTGATTTTGTATTGAGGAGGGTTTTGTGAATGGAAAAACTCTTCATCTTCTTTATCTAAAAATCTAGATTGTGGTTAAAGACAATATTATTATTTGTTAGGATAGCACAACAAGCATTCTCTCTCTTATGTAAGGAGAAATATTGACTAGATCGGATGAAACTAGACAGAATAGGTATATAGCTTTTACCATATAACTCTACTAGATTTTTACCATAAGTATACCATTTTCTATGTATATAGCTTCAATTGAATCAGCTAAGAGTGGTAGTACTTGTCTTTCTGGTGCAGGAACTTCTTGCAAGTAGTGTTTTCTGCTGAAAACACCGGGAGAGTTTTGAAATATAATGCTGCCACAGGAGAAACCACTGTGCTTGTGAGGGATGTTTATTTTCCAAATGGCGTGTCTCTAACTAAGGACGGTTCTTTTTTTGTGTTCTGTGAAGGCGGCAAAGGAAGGTGAAACTCTTCACAATTCTATTCTCATTAATCATAGCTCTTAGTTCATGGATTTATGAATGGAAAGAACACCAATGATCTATGTTATCAAAAGCTCCCAAAAACATGCTCTCTTTATTTCAACTGTATTTTAGCATCTAAAACATTCATTCATTGAACTCTTTCCATCATTGATATAGATTACGCAAGTATTGGCTGAAGGGTGAGAAAGCAGGAACAACAGAGAACTTCGCCCTCCTTCCAGGATTTCCCGACAACATCCGAACAAACGACAAGGGTGACTTTTGGGTGGCAATCCACAGTCGACATTCTACATTAGCCAGCTTGGAAGCTGAATATCCCAGATTGAGGAAATTTCTACTCAAGCTTCCAATATCTGCAAAATTCCAGTTCTTGCTCCACATTGGGGGACGGCCTCATGCAGTGCTCGTGAAGTACAGCCCCGAGGGGAAGCTTTTGCAGATACTAGAGGACAGCCAGGGGAAGGTTGTCAGAGCAGCAAGTGAAGTTGAGGAAAAAGATGGAAAACTGTGGATTGGAAGTGTTTTGATGTCTTTTGTTGCAGTTTATGACTTGCATTAGGTTATAAGGTCAAAGAGCAAGTAGGAAGAGTTTTTTTTTTTTTTTTTTTTCTTTTTCGTACAAAAGTTTGTGGTAGGATAAGTTAGGATGTTTACTCTATAGAAGTAATAATTTATCTTCAAGTTTTTAGGGTTAGTAGTATTCAAAAACATCAGAACAGTTCATTGACTATTGGAAAGCTCAAATGGATTATATTTGGAAATCGAGTTCATTCATATTTAGAAATGCTTCGGACTAAGAAGGCTACATATGTGATAAATATCTTTCCAAATTTTCTAAATTCTCTAGGACTTGTTTGGTTTAGTTGTCAAACCAAATCCGAACGGAAAAAGTGGATCATAATGCGAATCGCCGACATTCATTGGGAGTTGATCGACCATCTTGAACCATGTACGAGCAAGCTTCCCGGTGAATCCATAGTCGCCAAACAGAAGGTCGGCTACACCTTGGCCTTCTGTTCCTGGAAGCCAAGCAGCCACAAGGGCATTGGCTGTTTCAACATAAGGCTGCATCACAACAGGGCGACCGGAGACGACGACGACGACACATTTAACATTACTGCACACGTTTTTTATGGCGCTTGGACCTGGTTCAGAAATGGAGAGATTCGAGCTATCGCCAAACATTTCAGCATAAGGAGGCTCCCCCACAACAACAATGGCATATGAGAACTTGTTCGACTTGACGTAGCTAGCATCTGGATTCTCGTTGTACACTACCTCGGTTGCAGGATCGACCGTATTCTTCACAGCATTGAGGATGGTGGTACCTGTGCACAAATTTACGAGTCTAAGAAACCGAACGACCATCGAACAACTGTGGCTCTTGCGGTTCTCGTGTATTTTTACAGAAGAAGAAACCATGAACTTTTTAAGACATACCAACAGTGAGGTCATTGCCGCTCTGACCCTGCCATGTGATTGTCCAGCCTCCGCATTGGTAGCCCAAGTTGTCGGCGTGTGTCCCTGCAACCAATATCTTTGCAGCTTTCTTAGGAAGAGGTAGCAATGGTTGATCGGCAGAGGGGCCATTCTTCAATAGCACAAGCGATTTCCTTACAGCCTCCCTAGCCAGTTCTCTATGTTCCTGTTGCAAGGCCAACATATTTAGTTTCACTCACCAAAACCAACACTTTAGCAGATCTAAATAAGTGACAAACCTTGCTCCCAAGATGGTTGACAAAGCTGTTATCGGCCAACGGATTCTCGAACAGACCCATAAGAAACTTAACTCGTAATATCCTGTGAACAGCATCATCGATCCTGCTCATTGGAATGATATCATTCTTAACCTGGCGAGTGAGTTCGTCGATGAACTCCGTGAAGTTTTCTGGAACCATAACCTGTCATGAACCATGTATAAAATGAAAAAACGTAACGGTTTTAAAAGACATCGAACAAAATTGTTGTGTTACATGTTCTAAATCAAAGGTGAGATTTGATTTACCATGTCAATTCCAGCACCAACTCCAGCTTGAACTGAGTATGAATAATTAGCATGTGGAGGAGAGGTGATTCTGTCAATCCCTTGCCAATCAGAAATGACAAAACCCTACAGAGAATCAACAATAGAACATCATTGCATATTTGTAGAATCACCCACCGTGAAATCCCACATCGGTATCGGTAGGGGTGGAGAACCAAACACTCTTTATAGGGGTGTGGAAACCTCTCCCTAGCAGATGTGTTTTAAAGCCTTGAGGGGAAGCACGAAAGGGAAAGCCCAATGAGGACAATATCTGCTAGCAGTGGGCTTGGGCCGTTACACCCACAGTCTATTTTAGTAGCACGAAAAGAAAAGCCCAAAGAGGACAATATCGGCTAGCAGTGGGCTTGGGCCGTTACACCCCCGTCTATTTTAGTATTACTAATATAAGAAAGAATCTCAATTGAGTTATCAAATTTCTTTTAATACCTTGAACTTGAGCTTGTTCTTGAGGTACCCAGTGACAAGGTCACGATCGGCGTGCATTCGCATTCCGTTCCAGCTCGAGTATGATACCATTACAGTTGCAACTCCCTTTCTTATGGAGTTAAGATATGCAGGCATGTGAATGCTAAGCAATCCATTATAGTCAATCACAGTGTTATTTTCATCGATGCCCCTGACCGTGCCACCATCGCCTACGAAGTGCTTAGCACAGGCTGCAACTTTTTGTCTAAAGTGAAGTAAGTTGAAAATAGAAAAGTGGTCAGTGTAATATACCCTAATAGATTCATTTGAATCACTAGATCTGGATTGTGTTTAATAATCATTTACATGCACGGTTCACAAAACCTCAAATCAGATAAGACAGAAGAATGCCAAGAATAGGGAAGGGATGGTCAAATGAAGTATTCACAACATCATGTGAAACAGCTAGATTAAGCAGGAGAGGGGAATAGAAATCCAACTTTTTTCTTTACCATTTATAAACAATGATTTTACAGGGGAACGCAAGGTTCACAAAAAGATATTTTATCAATTGAGCAAGTATACATAACAGCCCAAGTCCATCGCTAACAGATATTGTCTGCTTTGGCCCGTTACGTATCACTCTCATGGTTTTAAAACGCGTCTGCTAGGGAGAGGTTTTCACACCCTTTTAAGGAATGCTTCGTTCTCCTCTCCAACCGATGTTGAATCTCACATTCCACGCCCCTTGGGGATCCAACGTCCTCGCTAGCACAATGTCCAGTGTCTAGCTTTGATACCATTTGTAACAGCCCAAGCCCACCACTAGCAGATATTGTTCGCTTTAGCCCATTACATATTGCCGTCAACCTTACGGTTTTAAAACGTGTTTGCTAAGGAGAGATTTTCACACCCTCATAAAGAATGCTTCGTTCCCCTCTCCAACTGATGCGGAATTTCACAATTCACTCCCCTTGAGGGCCCAACGTCCTCTCTGGCACACCACCTGGTGTCTAACTCTGATACCATTTGTAATAGCCCAAGCCCACCGCTAAGAGATATTGTTCGCTTTGACCCGTTACGTATCACCGTCAGTCTCACGATTTTAAAACGCGTTTGCTAGGTAGAGGTTTCCACACCATTACAAGGAATGCTTCATTCCCCTCTACGACCGACCTAGAATCTCACACTATAAAAGTTGTGTTGTTGGAGAGAGAGTGAGAGACAAAATGCATTGGTTAAAAGAAGACAGAAACTAGCTGCTTTTCTAGCCTCAACTTTTGTCTTCTTGAGCATAGATTTTAAAAAAATTGAGACACAAAGCTCATGGAATTGTAAGCATCATTACGGGTAGGCATGTGGGTATACGAAAGTTAACCAGGGCATACTCATTCAAGCACCTAACAAGTATATTTGCTATCAAGCATGCAGGGGAAGTGATATTAAACAGCAACTCATCAAATCACTGAACAAGCTAATAAAATATTTAAATTTAAAAACATAGATACTATCATGTTATCAATTTACTCCTCTAAAACAAAATGAAAATCAAAGTAAAGTTTAAAAGTTATGCAAAGGGATCTTACTTTCCCGCAACGAACGGAATCCCTTTTCGTGAATTAGCAGGAATTTCTCCTTGCAATCCAGGTATAATCTCAGTCAATTGTTGAACAATCTTATGATCTTCACTATAGCTCTCGTAGCATCGACCCCATCGAGGATCCCTGCACACCTGCCCAACAGCCAAACCCAGAAGGAAAAAAACTGTAATCTAAGCACACTTTGGTGAAGAACTTACAAGAATCCCTCATTTTCTCATTGAAGCAACAGATTCAAAATGTTTTACCGCAATACATGGAGCAAAAACGTAAGGAATTCCGGTTGCTCTCACTTCAAGTGCTGTGGCATCTCCAATCCGCCTAAGAAGTTCCGGATCCCTGATATGAACAAAGCAAGCCACATCAATATTTTGGGTTATAATTTCAGATTCAAGAACAACTTCAATGATTCTTGTTCATCAGTTCAAGGATCAACACAGATAAAACATTCCTAAATCTTAATCATCAATGAGTATGAAAAACAGAGGAAATCCGCAGCTTCTTGAGTACTTTACTTACCTTGTTACTCCAAGACCAACATTGTGAGGAAAAATAGTGGCATTGTACACATTATTGTGGCCATGAATAGCATCAATACCATAAATCATAGGGATCCCAAGACGGGTGGCTAAAGACCCCTTTTGAATCTCATTCACCATATTGACCCAAGTCTCCGCCGTCGCTTTCGCCGCCGGTACACTGCCTCCTCCGCTAAGTACACTCCCTGTCCAAACCCACCGTCACTCTTCATCTTCCATAATCAAAATGCAGTACACAATACATAAATCCATGACAAATCTAACTTATCCGAACAGGAGGAATCGATTTCAGTGAGAATATACCGATGAAGTAGTTCTTCATGACGTCCGGGGTTGCGACGCTCCGTTCGATCTGAACCATTTGGCCGATTTTTTCTTGGAGAGTCATCCGACGCATAAGATCTTTGATTCTTGCACCCAATGGCTGTTGGGAGTCTTTGTATTTTAGGTAAGTTGCATCTGAAGCATCGGCCAGGCAGCACAGCAGCAGCAGCCAAAACCCGATTAAGGGTATTAAGGATCGCATCATTTTGGGCTGTGAAACGCGAGCTGCTCAATAGATGAAGAGAAAACGGAGTGGAGTAATGGCAGAGATGGTTTGAGGAAACGATTCTTAGAGAAGAAAGCGAAAATGGGAGTGGTGAAACGATTGGTAAAAGTTGTGGGTAAGCAAAAGAGTGGGGAAAAGGACGGAAAGATTCTGGCAATGGGAAAGGGGAATCCACAGAACACCAAGATGGATCATGTGGAGGGAGGGAGACCTTTTATACAAATTTGTACTATTATTTTTATTCACTTTCTTATCTCTTCATTCAAATTCAGAATAAACACCTTTTCTTTCTTGATTCTTCCTCTAAATCACGTAAATCTAAATTTAAAATGTGAAATCAACCAATTTCATCATTTTTTTTTTGTTTTCTTTGAGTAACGTAGCATTCACATGACACGCATAAACATAAAATAATATATGATAAGTTTATTTTGAAAAAATGGGACATGTTTGACCGTTGTCCACAATTTTAAGATTTATTAATCATTTTGTACCACACTCGTTCTTCGAGTTGTGTTGGCTCAATTTTTGTAATAGTTCAAGCCCACTACGAGGTAGCAGATATTGTCTTATTTTGATTTTTTCTTTTCAATTTTTTCTTAAAGTTTTTAAAGCGTGTTAAGAGAGAAATTTGCATGGGACTGACTATTCACTCTTTTTTTTTTTTTTTTTTTTTTTT